ATTTAACGGTCTAGCAGCAACCGTTTCGGCCCCTCCGAGTCCTCTTCATGCGCAATGTTATCTCCCCACGCCCGCATCTACGCGTCACCCACGCCCGAATCGCCGTTCTGCGCCAGAGCGGGAAGAAATTGGTTGTAACACGTCGCGTGGGCCCACTCATCGCTTGTCGGACTTCGAAAGAGCATGCGGACGAGCTTGTGGCTCTGGTACGGGCGATGCCTTGGCGAGGAAACAGCCGAGAAGAACCGGCGGACGCGTTGAGCGGACTTGAATCTGAAGTGTAAGAGGAGCAAATCATCTGTGTGTATCACGTTTCTCATACTCTTATTGATTACTGAGTACTGTGCGCGAGCACAGATTGTCACACGGTCTTACTCTCGGCCCTCCTCGGCCAGCACTGCAGGCGGCCCTCTCGCCGCATACCACATCGCCACTTCAACCATTGACAGATGACGTTTCAAATGTGGTTCGCGCCGAATCTTATTGGTTCGGTTACCTACTGTGGGCGCTCCGGCATCTAGGGTGCGCGCGCGTATGGCTACAAGGTCGTGAGAGCGGGGTGCGCGCTCCTTGACGATGGAAGTCGACCTCATCTCTCCGATACAGAGTACCCTCAAGTACGTAGAGGGGTCCTTGCTGGCGATGCACAGCAATGACCACGCATCCCAAAACGCGCTACTGTCGTGCCTCACACTCCATTAGACGTCGTCCACCGTTGGGCGAGCGGGATTGGCTCTCGCGTGGTCGGTGCGTCGCTTTTCACTCTCATCCGACGTGCATCGAAGGCTTACCAAATGATGCAGCAACGGTTGTGATCTTGAGTGCCCTCTCAGTCCTCTCGCTCCAAAACCCAGCGCGCCTTACCGACGATCCCTCGCGGCTTTGGCGACAAAACGAGTGTTGGAGGATATTTCCGATGTGCGCGCGGATGATGGACATGGGAATCTGAGCACGCCCTCCGCAGAATCCGGACCAGTCGTATAGCTTACGCATTTACATGTACTTACTCCGTCTATGCTACCAGTATACGCGTACTGCAGGCCGGAGATCAATTGACTCATCGTCTTCAACGGGTCTTGCTTACATCGTAGGTCGTTCAATAGCATCACGCCGTATGCGTCTCCTCGCAAGTTCTTGATGCTGGCGGTTCGCCTGTGAAGGTCGTTAGTGACAAGAGATATAGCCGAGAGCAAGAAGACTACCTGTATCTTCCACCCTCTGGACGATAGCATCCCAAGACGTCAACTTATTCTTCGGCCGATACTCCGCCGATAGACCTCGGAAATGCTTCATGTGCGCTCGAAGGCGCTCAAACACCCCATACAGCTCGCAGTCGCCGGGATCGAGTATCACGTTGCTGTCTGCGTAGCCAAAGAAAAGTCCTGGAGATCGTCCCGGGATGCGCCAGAGGGTGGTGGCGCCGTCTCGGCATTGACCGAGGCGAGGAACGGATCTTGAAGGCGTGTGCGTGCTTCCGGTTTCTGCGTTGTGTTCGACGACGTAGTAGTGCGTGATGTTCGAGCCGTGCGTGTCGGGCCAGCCATGATCGTCGTGAACGAGCTGTCGTGATGGAGAGGGATGGATGAGGAGGGTAGGGTTGAAGACGTTTTCACGAGTATCGTTGGGGCCTGAGACTGGATGGAGGTGGTAGCAGTGTAGGAGAAGCGCTGCACTGCGTCGCTCGGGTGTCGATGCGGGATCTTTCTCGAGGTCTTCGAAGATCTGAGAGCAGGTCGTCAGAGAAGATTGAATGAAGCTCCAATGGTGAACCGGGCGCTCGTACCGAGTCGGCGTCTGGGAACGTGATGCGTCATCGTTGGAGAGACTGAGCACATGGAGGGCGCACAGCATGAGAGGTTTGCACGGCATGAGCACGACCAGAGGCACCTGGTCAGGCATGTACATTAGCCATTCGTGGGCACACACCGCGCACGCTATCATTGCTGTGAGCAACGGTACTCGTACAGTACCGTGAATGCGTACCATACAAGCCGTTTGATGCGGTGTAGGGCTTGAACACCGACGCGTATAGACTTCTTGCAGATGTAATACTGGAAAGCTCGTGAGTATAACTTTCCGACGAGGATAATTTAGATACGAACCGCGTAACGCTCGCTCAGGAGAGCAACATAGTGCCCGTCCTGCAACTTCACCGTTGCCTTGCATAAGACGCACTTACATAGACTTGAAGGGGCGCCAGATCTCTGCGCGGGCTGGCTCGTCGAAGAACGCCTCGAGTTCGTCGTAGGAGTCTCCCATGACGAGCTGTAGACTGATGGTGGTCGTGAATGAAACGAGGTGGCGATGAATCCAGAACTCCTGTATGCAGATTGGCCCCGGCGCGTGTGTGGAAGCAAGATACCCCTGCGAGTCGCGCTCGCGTAGTCGTTGCCGAGACGTAGATGACAGATGCATCAAGTTAAGGGCAGATACTACATCTCTGATGAATGGTGAGTACATTAACGTGGCGGCCGTCAAGACTAGTGCAAGCGAGTGGTGTGCCCTTCAAATGCGGCTTCTGGAAGAGTCGCGCTGCGACTGAGGACCCGATGGGTTCATACCCCAGGTTATTGACAGTTACGAACTGGATATACTAGATACGAGGCTGCGCGAGGTAGTGGGTGGGCAGTAAGATGATATTTGACTGTCGAGATGGCGGTAAGAGCAGAGGCGCGCCGACACGGCTTGCGGTCAATATCCGCGCGGCCTCACGACATTCAGATCGCACGCTACCGAGTTCCGGGAACGGTAGTAGTAGTAGTGTTGTAGTAGTGTTGCACTATCTGCATGGTGGTGTAGTAGCATGTGGGGATACACACTGGGAGGGGGAAAGTATATTGGTGATATCGGGTTCAGAGACCAAGATGCGGCCTGGTATCGGAAAGACGCGCGCCGAACGCGACTTGGAGCGAACGCTCACCTTGCGCACACCGCCACTGCCTCTCGTGACCGCCACCTATCTCACAGGATGGCATTTTTCAGATGCAAGATGACTACCAAACGCGGAGACGACGGAGGAAGGACGACGGGTGAAGGTTCGGTAGGCGTTCTGAAGCCCGATCATGGTACGTCTTCTTTCATCATATTTACATCGTGAATATACTCTGAGGCAGATGATTAGAAGTTACGAACGCGCTTTACGTGCTCGAGAGATGCAAATAAGACTGCTCATGCGAGTACACGGACGGGCGCGGAGAGACTGTAAGATGTGGGCTCTTGGCCACGCTCGCTGGGCGCGACTATGTATGGGCAACCTGAGATAGACCATGCGTTCATCGGTGCGTCTTCTTTGCCTTCTACGATGTACTATGGTATACTGAAGGTATGATTTGCAGGCCACGACGCTATGTTCCTACACTCGGTCATGCAGGGCCACCACTAACTCCTATTAACCCTTCAACTCCTCGCCCAATTACATTCGACCCTCGCGCGCCATCAAGCCTGCACATCCCAAACACTTCACTTCTTAACCTCTCACGCCGAGACGCTCTCCCCCGTCATCAAATCACCACCGTCCTCGCTCGGGCGTTGCGACAAAAGACGGCGGAGCGCGGTCCACACTCCTCGCGAATCTGCTGAGCTATACGGTCGACGGCGTGGACGGGTTCGATCGGGCGCTCGATAGGGCCGAGCCGCTGTTCGGCCGGACGATCGCGCGGGTGCTGAGGATACTCGTGCGCGCGATGGAGCTGCAGCAGGCGTTCTTGGACGTGCTTATCCCGCTTGCGCACGCGCTGCCGCCGTCGCCGATCACGTCCACCATTCATCACAGGAATCACTACACTCCGCTCGACTCTGCGCTCGGCTTTTCGGCGCCGCTGGCGTCCGCTATTGCAGCGTACGTCGCGCATGCGGTTGGGCATCCCGAGACGGCGTTGCTTGCGCTTAGGATACTGGGCGTGCTCAGCGCCAGCACGGTCTTCCCCGGACGCAATCTGGCTGTACTAGCCGGGAGGAGCGTGGAGAGCGAGCGCGTTGTGGAAGGGTTTAGGACGTTGTTGGGTGTCGAAGCGAGGATGAAGCCCGAGGAGGCGATGGAGGTTGCCGAGCGGTACGCCGGCGCTGGCACTGTCCACACTCGGCCACTCGACATCCCAATCCCTCGTCCTCTCATCGTCTACCTGCGGACCCTACGACACAACATCCGCGTTCGCATCTCTGCGACCCATCTTCGACTGCCTCGTCACATCCGTCGTGCGCGACGCGTCCGCCGGAACCGACGTGTGGCGGACCGTCGCGTTTACGCTGCTTCCAAGACTTGTGGCGCTGGACGAGAGGGTGCTGAATGTGTTGAATAAACACGGGTTTGTGCAAGGGTTCGTATATGCGCTTAAGGAGGCGGATGCGCGGTTGGTGGGCGTGTTGAAGCCCGATCCTGGTACGTTTTCATCTTCCTTTCTTTATGAAGTGTATGAGCTGAGAGAAGGATGTGGCAGATGATCTGAACGCGTTGTACGTGTTCGAGGCGCAGATGGGGCTGCTCATGCGCGCTGCGAGTACGAGGACGGGCGCGGAGAGGTTGCTCGATGCGGGGTTGTTACCGACGCTCGCCGGGTGCGACTTTATTGATGCGCAGCCTGAGGCTGATCATGCGTTTATCGGTGAGCCTTCTCCCTCTTCGGTGATTACTATAGTATACTGACTGAAGGATGTATAGACCGCGATGCATTCTCGCCCTCGGCAATACAGCGCTACCATCAACTGCTCCTGCCAACTCTTCAACTCCTCACGCAACTACACTCGACCCTCACGCCCCATCAAACCATGCACAGCACAAACAATCCGCTTCCTAACCTCCCACGCCGACACGCTCTCCATTCTCCTCAAATCGCCGCCGTCTTCGCTCGCGGCGCTGAGCGAGCAGAAGCTTGTCGTCGAGCTATGCAGGGGCGTGCTACACGGTGTTGAAGGACGGGAAAGGATGGCAGAAGCATACGGCCTTCGGAGGGCTGAACGCCGCCGTCGGGGCGCTCGCTGCTCGGGCGCTTGCGGGCGGTGTGGGAGAAAGTGTTGGGCCGATGAGCGATGCGGAGGTCGCGGACGATGCGGTGTTGGCTCCCGGTGGGTTTCCTTTCGTCGCTTGCATCTTGGATATGGAGCTAACACATTGCTCAGGATATGCGCAGACGAGTAAGTTCGCGCTCGCGGTGCGTGACGCTGAGCATGCGCTCGAGCGCGCGTTGTTGTACCTCGCCGCGGCGTCTGATCCGGGCGAAGATGCGCCGGGCGGGATTACGCTCGTTGTAGCGCCCGTCGTTGGGCCCGCACGGTCGACCGATTCGCGCGTCGTTGGTATGTGCTTGTCCTCTTCGTCTGTTCGTTCAGTCAAGATGGCTAATATACTCTCGCAGCGACGGTACCGACTATGGGCGACCTCTTCGACGCCCTGGGAGCACTCTCATCTGAGCTGCATGATACGCTGCGCATCACACACAACTTGACTGCTAAGCTATCCGCACGTTCCCATCTGCGGATCGAAGACTACATTCCCATTCTCCCTCCACCCCTGGCTTCTCTCGCTGCGAGTCAAAATCCAAGCTGGCCAGACCAGGAGTATGATCGCGGAGGAGCTGGGGAGAATCCGGGAGCGCGTGAGGAGAAGAGCAGAGGGACTCGTCGAGGCAGTCGAGGTCGCGCTCTTGGTGGCGTGGACGCATGCGAGCGTATACGCTGCGGAGGACATCGACTCATCGTTTATCATCGCCCTACGACGGCCGAAAGAGCGCGCGGGCGTCCAACCGGGCTCTGCGGCTTTGGCACGGGCTCTGGACGGTGCGCCCAAGGGCGAGGCGTTCGTGAGAGAGTCCGCAAGAAGGGCTGCGAATGCTCTGAGTAGGGTCGAAGGGCTGGAGCTTGGTGGTGAGGAAGGGTGGGAGGTGAGAGAGGCGTTTGTTGGGTTGATGTGTGTTAGGGTCGCGGAGGTTCTTGGGCTGAGTAGGGATACGAGCGGTGGTGAGGAGTAGATGGTGATGAAGATATATGGGAATGCAGTAGTGCCAAATGTTCTTTGACTTTGTGTTTTTTGCTCTGCTGTATACGATACGTAATGGTCTCACTTAAATTACTGTGCTATTCGAACTATACCTCGCTTATAAGTACTTCTCTTAGTGCGCGCTTGTCACGAGTCGTCGCGGCATAGAGAAGGGGAAACCCCCGTCGGAGCCGAAGACCTGCTGTACGAGGGGATAGCAGTTGCAGCATATCTCATTGAGCGGCTGATGTAAGTCCGGACGGATGTGTGGGTCAGACGCGCGCTCGCTGCGGAACGCGGCTTGAAAGAGACGTCCATGTCGAGGCCAAGTCGGCGCGCAAGCTGAGCGCTGGCGCCGAGGCCTGACAGCCTTCTGACTTTGTGTCCCGGCACGACATAGTCGTTCCCGGCCACTCCATCTACGGCATATGTGAGGATGCATGCCGTCGTTCAGACGAGCGTGGGCGCGCGAGAGGTTCCGGTACCATCCCGCATACACGGCTGTCGAGCTTGCCGGCGTGCACGCCGTCGGGATCAGAGTCCAACAGACAAGTACACTGTCTCTCGTCGCTCGGTGCTGTATGTACTCCTCGCCGCATACACTCATTCGCATTCTGGAAGCCTGATGCACTGTCACGATTTCAATACAGCTTCTCATGAAGGCTCTGCCCCGCTTATCGCGGGATGCAGGGCGCCCGAGCGCCTGTGCTCCTGTGCTCCTTGTCTCGCACGAGCAACGTGTCAACAGGGAGGATCAACCTCACAGTACCAGGTCTCTCTCTCCTACCTCCAGCTTCTTCTCGTCAACATGGACAACAAGAAGACCCCGTACCCGCGCGATCTCGCCGAGCTGTGGGACGCAGCTCTGCAGCGCCACGAGCTGGAGACCGGGACAAAGTTGCTTGGGACCGCGATCGCGAAGCACTACCCGCTTCACCCTACCAGTGACGACGAGGTCCTCGCGATCTTCGCCGCGCAGAGCAAATCGTTCGAGACGTTCAGAAGCCGCGGCGGAAAACTCCTTGCGGTTTTGAAGCCCGTCGTGCACTTCGCTTGTCTGGTCATCGATTCCGGGGCGGAGGCGGCAGCGTCGGTACGTGTCGATTTGCAACACCAAGAATGCGAACCGACTCTGACCTTTCAGTAGATGAAAGCACCAGGGGGTAAAGCCATTTTCGTGGCTGTCGGTGTACTTCTACAGGTGAAACACATGCCCACTCCATTATACTCCACCCAACGCGCTCACCAGGCTCACAGGCTACGAAGGGAGTGAGTGCACTCTATGACGCTATCGAGCATCTCTTCCAAGAGATCGCGCCCCTGCTCAATCGCATCGCGACCCATCTGAGGCCATCGGCGGCGCCCGCACCTGCTCTGATGAACATCCTCGTCCAGACCTGCGTCCAGGTACTTGAGATACTCGCAATGACCACGAAGTATTGCAACTCAGGCACTGGTCACGCTTGGAGCTCCATCTTGCGGCGTACCAGTGAGTGCGATGTTGCCATGACGTGCCACGTATGTCTGCTAATCGCGACTCGCAGAGGATTGCCTTCATAGCTTTACCGGAGACAGCAGAATCAAGGCGGCGCTCGAGAAGCTGGACCATTTGACGAAGAATGAGCTACTAGAGGCCGTGGCGGAGATCGGCGTCACCGTACGTGATTGTGAGCCGTGTCTTCGTGCTTTTTTGGCAGTTCGCTCATCATCTCCAAAGTCCAACCGCAGATACAGTTCATCGCAGACCGTACAGGTAGAGAACTCTTTCATGCATACCTCGTCCCTCTTCTCCATCTCACTGCTCCTTTCAGTTGTCCGAGACTTACGCGACTGGCTAAACTCACCCAAAGAGCAACCCCTCAATTGGGAGAAGAAGCGGCGTACTGGTAGCTGCCAGTGGTTCTTCAACGAAACATTCGACAGTTGGAAAGAACAGAAGAACGGAGTATACTGGATATATGGCAAGGGTGAATTGACTCCCTTAATCCACCGATACGAGAGCTTATCGCTCTGGTAGCCGGCGCCGGGAAAAGTGTCTTGTGGTGAGCTACCCCCCAACCTTCTCCTCCCATCATCTTCAACACTCGCTGTAGTTCATCGATCATCGATAAGCTCAAGGAGGATCCCACGGTTAAATTGGCATACTTCTATTTCGACTTCAGTGACCCGACGAAGCAGGACTGTCGCTCCTTGGCTGCCTCCCTAGTCTTTCAGCTGGGAACTTGCTCTGAAGCGTGCCAGAAGTATCTGCAAGGGAAGACGAAGTCCACGTCTCCGACCTACGATGAGCTTCTTCCCATGCTATCGGACCTGGTGAAACTCGCTGGACCTGTGTACATCGTCATTGATGCTCTTGATGAATGCCCCGAGCGCGAGCGGGACAAAGGCTCAGCTCGCTTTCTGGAGCATCTTTGCGAGCTTGATAGCAACGAGAAGGACTTCCACTTGCTAGTGACCAGTCGCCCCGAAGCCGATATCTGGACTCTGTTCTCATCTGTCACTCATGCCTTGAACTACCATGATGCTCAGAGACATCACGAAGATGTAGACGCGTACATTCGCTCTCAGCTGGACCGAAAAGAGTATTGCTGGTCGTCCGACGTCAAGGAAGCTGTACGTGGAACTCTTATGCGTGGATCCAACGGAATGTGTGTTCTCTTCTTCGTGCAGGACTGGTCTTACGCTGACCCGCGAGCTAGGTTCCTGTGGGTTGACCTCCAACTATCGCGTTTGCGGGGCTGTGTATCCTCTGCGGATGTCGAGCGCGCCTTGAAAGAGCTCCCTGCCGATCTTACTGCGACATATGAACACATTTTGGAAAAGATTGACCCATCATCCCCTCAGACGGAGCGCGTTCGTCGGGTCTTCGAATGTGTTGCTTCTGCAATGCGGCCGCTTTTCACGAATGAAGTAGTGGAGATCTACACCCTCAATACCGATCTGCGCTCGTCCGACGATATGAACATCAATGACTCCGAGACATTCATACTCGAGAGATGCACCGGTCTGTTGAACATATCCGATTGGTTTTATCGGCGCGATGGACAAGTGCACAGAAGCGTCCAGTTTATTCACTTCTCCGCGAAAGAGTTCCTCATGTCTCCCGCACTCCGAGATACCAAGAACTTGGCGCATCGCTACAGATTCGATGAATACACAGCCAATCTCACGCTATCGAAGACATCTCTCGCCGCACTTGATGTTGCACCGGCTTTGCCTTCCATACTCGTGTACGCAGACTCTCATTGGAGAGACCACGTCTCGCATCAGAATGAACTCGATCTTGACAACTCGCTGGGCAAGCACCCTACGGGGCTATGATTCCGATCGAGAATATCCCGCTCTTCATTGTGCCGCAGCCCTCAATCTGTCTCACCATCTGAAATCGTTGCTGGCACAGTCACAGTCCGACAAATCTCCTGTGAAGAGTACTCCTGTTTCGGTACGTTGCCCCCGAGGGCGGACTGCATTGCACCGTGCTGCAATTGCTGGTACGGTTGATGCCTGTCGCCTGTTGCTCGATTACGGAGCTCTCGTCGACGACACCGACGAAAATGGGGACACTCCTTTACATCCGAGTGCAGAAAGGGGAAACTTGGACGTTATGCGGATGCTTCTAGAGCACCCCCGTTCGGATGCGGAGGATCCCGGTGCTCGCATTCATGTCCGTAACAAGCTAGGGCTGACCGCATTGCATCTCGCTGCAGAGTGGGGAAGGGCAGAGGCTTGTCGCATGTTGCTCGAGCGCGGCACTCTCGTCGACGATACCGACGAAAATGGAAACACCCCCCTACATCTGAGTGCACAAAGCGGGGACTTGGACATTATGCGGGTGCTTCTCGAGCACCCCCGAGCGGATGCGGAGGATCCCGGTACTCGCATTCATGCACGTAATAAGCGCGGGCAGACCGCATTGCATAGGGCTGCACAGTCAGGAAAGGCAGATGCTTGTCGCCTGTTGCTCGAGCGCGGCGCCCTCGTCGATGTCATCGACAAAAACGGAAATACTCCTTCACATTTTGCGGCTGGGATCCGGGGCTGGCCGCCATCCCCGACTACCATCCGCTTCCTCCTAGAGTATCGTGCGAAGGAGGGCCTAGGAGGTCTACCGCGAGCTCATAAACTCAGGAATCGACTGCGTCGCCGCGGCGAGGACACCGACTCAGGCCACGGCGGAGAACCGTGGCTTGCCATTCTCGAGGACTTTGCGTCGCAAATCGAGCCGGTCGAAGTCAGCCTTGCCGACACGTGGTTCGTAGATGTCTAGGGTGCACGCCGCGCGGGCGGTCATGAACATCGATGGGAGTGGGAAGCAGTGAGCCCGTGGGAAGTTTGAAACCAGTCTCGCCATTTGTGGTCTGGACTTTGCGGTTCGTTTGTATAGTCTGTTCGTAGGTCAACCTGTATGCGCGTTACGAATCATATCGTGAACTAGCTTGTAAGAATGTACGGAGCGTCAATCCATGGGGTGAAGAAGCGGAGGGTGTATCCAAGTAGAGTGTGCATAGATCATCGAAGGACGAGGGAAGAGTGATGGCAAGTAAGCGTGCAGCACGGTTATCAGGCGCGAGAGTCTGTGCTGCATTATGTGCGATCCACCGCACCTCATACAGCAGACAACGGCATTGGAAAGCCCTACAAACATCTGATCTCAAAATCAGCTACATTCGATATGGTCTATGGAAGGTCGTGGACGAACACGAGAAGGTTGTTGTCCAAGCATCTCATTTCAGTCGCCTTCGTAAACGACTCCGCGAGATGAGAACTCCGGCTAAGGGAGGGTCATTGCGGTAGACAGAAGCGAGAGTAGGAAGCTCACATTGGGATCCGCGCAACATATGATAAGTCTATGGGCGCATTGATCACACTGATATCGTTCTAGCAGCTTCAGAGAGTCGTATGGGATGGTCTCGGCGGGCGTAGGCAATATCTTAGCGATATGCGTCAACATAAGAGATAAGGGGGAAAGCGCGAAGAGACGGTACGCACGGCCGAGGCGCATCAGGCTGGTGAGCCATTCGTAGTCTCGCTTCATACAGACATCACATCTCTGTAGACAAAGAGTCAGCTCCCAAGACGGGGTTTCGAAGAGAGATTGCGCGTACGAGTACGATGGCGCGAGCATCGTCGGTAAGCAGTGACGTTGTGTCACGGTCTATGAGAGCCGAGGCTGATCGATGTACGGAGGAATGGCTTCAAGAGTAAGGTGGTGGTAGCAGATCAAGATGCGTTGGCGGGGCAGACAGACGCGCGCTGAAAGCGTCTTGCCGACAACGCTCACCTCGCGCACTACTGCCTGCGTCTTACGACTGCTACATCGCTCACCTTTGATTAGAAAATTCTCAAGCGGATATGCACTGACAGGTGCGTTATGCCTGACCCTCATAGTGTGCAATACAGTGACATTATTGTTTCCAGACCGCGACACATTTCTACCTCCGCTGCCCAGCGCCATCACCTGCCCCTCCCAACCTACCACCCAGCCGCACCCCACCGCACGGCTCATCACACTCGTTCAATTCACCTCTTTACTATGGAGGACTGGACGCCGTTGTCTATTCAGAGAACGTACTCGCGGTATTCGACCTTGCGTCACCCGATCCCGCCGTCTAATTGCTCTCGCATCCCGGATGCGATATTCTTCAGCGACTCCTTACGCGGTCCAACCTCCTCGCGAATCTAGCAAATCTACTAACCTATACCATCAATGGGTTGTGTGGGCTCGATCGAGGGCTTAGTAAGAGCGAGCTGCTCTTCAGTCGCACGAACGCGCGCGTCTTGCATATACTCGTTTGAGCGCCCGAGCTGCAGCAGGCGTTCTCGGACGTTTCCACACCCCTCGCGCGTGCTCTTCCGCAATCACCGCTCACGTCGACGATCCATGCGAGAAACCACGACACCCCGCTCGACTCGGCTCTCGGCTTCTCAGCGCCTCTCAACCCCGCAGGCGCAGCATACGTCGTGTATGCGGTCCGACATTCTGACTCGACATTACTTGCGCTCAGAGTAATGGGTGTGCTCAGCGCGAGCACCGCTGAGCATCGTGTTCTTCTGCCGTAAATGCGGTGTGGCGTACGGTTGCGTTGGCGCTGCTTTCAAGACCTGTCGCGCCGCACTACAGCACATTGAATCCCTTGAACGAATCTGGGCTTGTTCAAGGGTTCAGGCATGCGGTCAAGGAGATACGCGGTTGCTGGGCGTGTTGAAGCTCGGTACTGGTGGGTTTACTTACCGTGTCACTTTTTGAGTATGTATACTAATGGGCGTGATATAGATAAACTGAACGCGTCATCCGCGTTCGAGGCGCAGTTGGGGCTACTCATCCGCGTGGCGAGTCTGAGGACCGGCGCGGAGAGGTCGTCTTCGAATCTCGATGCGGATAGGTGCGACTTTCGTTGACGCGCAGCCTAAGGCTCATCGGCGAGTCTTCACCTCGTTTGTTATTGATGCAACATAATAATCCAGACACGTATAGACTGCGACGCTTTATTACCCTCGTCCATACAGCTCTACCATCAGCTCCTCCCGACCCTCCAACTCCCGACCCAACTACACTCGACTCTCGCGCCCAATCAAACCTGCACAGCTCGAAATATACACTTCTTAGCCCACGCAGACACGCTCTCCATCGACCTCAAACCCCCGTCGGCTTCGCTCGCGACATTGAGCGAGCCGAACTTGGTCGTCGAGTCGTGCCACAGGGGCGTCTTGTACGGTGCTGTGGGGCGGAGAGGGTGGCCGAATATATGGGCGGAGGGGGAACGCCGCTATCAGAGCGTGGGCGCTTGCGGGCAGTGATGGAGAAGGCGTGGGGCCGATAAGCGACGCAAAGCTGGTCGCGGACGATGCGGTGTTGGCTTCAGGTGGGTTCCTTTCATAATTTGCTTCTTGTATACGGAGCTGATACTTCGGTCAGAGTACGCGCAGACGAGCAACTTCGCGCCCGCCGTGCGCGACGCCGCTTTCGCTCTTGATCGCGATGGCATCTGATCCGGGCGAAGATGTGCCGAGCGGGCACAAGCGCTCGTCATCGGAACGGCGCGTTCGACTGATTCGCGTGTTGTTGCTACGTGCTCCTTTTCACGACTTGACACGACTGAGACTGACTGAAGGACGCGATAGCCACGGTAGCGTCTACGGGCGAAATTCACCCGGGGAGCCCTCTGATCTGCTCCCCCGGACCCCGATATTTGCGTAACGCACGACGTACGCGCCGATCTTCCCGCACCCCGGCACCCTTGCACCTCTCGCCTTTGTCGTCGTGCCCTAGGAGCGATGAATGCGCCAGACCTGGGACAGATCACGGAGAGAGGAGGGACCCTCGGCGTCGGAATACTCGTGCCGTGGGCCTACATACGTATTTGAATACGCTATCCGCCGTGGGTCAAAAGAGCGTACGGATGTGTAATCGGGAAGTGCAGCTTTGGCATGGGCCGTGGACGGCAGTCCAAGGGCGAAGTGTTGGTGAGAGTGCGCGAGGAGGGCCAGTGGTTGCGTCGAGTGTATTTTTATCTTGCTCTCGTGTCCCGTTCGTGTCTGTGTCCTGCTCTCACATTCATGTTCACATGTACGAACGCTGTTGTCTTGCTGTGCTACCAAATCAGTACATACGCTCTTCGCCATGAATAGTTGCCCCCAATCATCCCATCCAATTTGTATTCAAACCGCCAGACACCGCCTGTTGAGCATCCTGGAAGTTATAGACAGAATATTGAACGGTACGTGGCCGAGAGCTGGAAGTTCGTTCGCGGCCGATGTATGTACTCGTGAAGGCGCGAGTGTGCGCGAGTAGTGATGGGGCAAGCAAGCGCTCGCCGCGGAACGCGGTTTGAGGAAGACGCCCATCTCGAGACACAATTTGCCACTTGCTTGCCGCACCCTGTCCTCCATCTCAATGGAGGTTAAAAGTGCTGTCGGCGGCCATGTCCGAAATGTGCATTAGCGGTTACACGGTTTTTGGAATGGTAGGAGCGAGCCTGGCTGTGTATACGTCGTATACTCGGCTGTACGCAGAGCTTTCTGCTGTGCATGCTTGGTGCATGCCGTCGGGATCAAGCTCCCCGGGCCGGGAAGGACGCTGACGCTCAGTGCTCAGCTTCAGCTCTTCCGAAGTCACGTATATGTGCAACCGGTGCTGTTTGGAAGCCCAGCAAGCTCACTGTCCCGAAAGTCCAGCCTGTGATGAAGTTCCTATGACTGGAAGGCTCTGCTCCCTTATCGCGGGCCGCAGGGCACCTGTGATCTTTTGTCTCTCACGGGGAACGCGGTAACAGGGAGGATCGATCTGACCGCGATAGGCTCTTCTTACCACCATCTACCTCCCTTAGACCAAGAGCGCGAACCTAACCTCGGACACTACGGACGGCATGGACACGCGAAAGGCCGCCATGACCCCGCGCACTCTCGATGCACTCTGGGACGAAGCGTTGCGGCGCTACGAGCAGGACACCGGGACGAAACCGCTTGATAGCGATGCCGCGAAGGCCTTCCAAGGTCGCGAAACGAAATTTGAGGTCGTCCTGGCGCTCTTCGAGCAACAGTGCCGCTCGTTTGAGGAGTTCCGGAGTCGTGGTCAGAGGCTTTTGAGCCTTCTGAAACCCATCGTCCACTTCGTTTGCATCTTCCTCGATGCGGGCGCTGAAGCCGGTTCGTCGGTGAGTACTGTTCTATGGTCTACGTGGCTAGGCGTATATCTGACCGAATTCCAGATGGGGGCCCCAGGAGGGAAGGCCATCTTTGTTGCCTTCGGGGAACTTCTGAAGGTGAAGTAGGGTCCATAGTATAGCTTCAGTGCGGTGTTCTCATTTTGATCAGGCAGGGAAGGGCGTTAGCGGGCTTTATGACGGCATCGAGTATCTCTTCACGAGAATGGCCAGCTTTCTCAACCGTGTCTCCATCTACTTTGGGATGTCTACCGCGCTAACGCTCGCTCCCGCTTTGTCGGACATCCTCATCCAAGCATGTATCCAGGTGGTTGAAGTACTCGAGATGGCCACCAAGTACTGCCAGTCGAATACAGACGCAAATACGGGCTGGTTCAGTTTCGCACTTCGCACAAGTGCGCATATCCATCACTACGGTCGCTCTATCTGCTAAGTGTAACTGTGTCTACGCGTAGAGGACTACCTACATGGGCTGATCGGAGATAGCGGGGTCAAGAAGGCGCTCGAGAAGCTCGAGCACCTTACGAATACAGAGCTCTTAGACGCCGTGGCACAGATCAACGTCATCGCTCGCAACAGTAAGTTCGTTCGCATCGCCCGATAGACTGGAATTGTGCTCATTGTCCTCCAAGTTCAGCCCCAGGTCCAGTTCGTCGCGGATGCCGCAGGTAAAGGCGCTTCCGTATTTGACTTTGCCCGACCTTACGATCTGTTCCAGCTATTGCAGGTTTCCGCAACTGGCTGAAACCGCCCAATGAGCAACCACTCAATTGGGAGAAGAAGCGGCGTACCAACAGCTGCCAGTGGTTCTTTGATGAAATGTTTGAAAGCTGGAGAGTCCAGAAGAACGGAGTGTACTGGATATATGGAAAGGGTGCGTGGGCTCTCCCCATTCGCCGATACGGGAGCTTACCTTTCTGGCAGCCGGCGCCGGGAAAAGCGTCTTGTGGTGAGCTACCCTCGCACTCTCTCCTCCGATCATCTTCATCACCCGCTTTAGTTCATCGATCATCGATAAGCTCAAGGAAGGTCCCCCGGTTACATTGGCGTATTTCTACTTCGACTTCAGTGACCCAGCGAAGCAGGACTGTCTCTCCTTGGCTGCCTCTCTTGTCTTTCAGTTGGGAACTTGCTCTGAAGCGTGCCAGAAGTATCTGCAAGGAAAGGCGAAGTCCACGTCTCCGAACTACGACGAGCTTCTTCCCATGCTATCGGACCTGGTGAAACTCGCTGGACCTGTGTACATCGTCATTGATGCCCTTGACGAGTGCCCCGAGCCCGCGCGGGACAAAGGCTCGGCCCGCTTCCTGGATCATCTCTGCGAACTTGATAGCAACGAGAAGGACTTCCACTTGCTAGTGACCAGTCGCCCCGAAGCCGATATCTGGACCCTTTTTTCATCTGTCACTCATATCTTGAACTACCATGATGCTGAGAAACACCACGAAGATGTCAGCTCGTACATTCGCTCTCAGCTGGACCGTAAGGAGTATCACTGGTCGTCCGATGTGAAGGAGACTATACATCAAGCCCTTGAGGACGAATCTAATGGAATGTATGTTCTCTTCTTCGCGCAGGTTCGGTCTCACACTGAACTGCACGCTAGGTTCCTGTGGGTTGACCTCCAGCTATCGCGTTTGCGGGGCTGTATATCCTCTGCGGATGTCGAACGAGCGTTGAAAGAGCTCCCCGGCGACCTTCATGCGACGTATGAACGCATTTTGGAGAAGATGGACTCGTCCTCCGCCCAGATGGAGCGTGTCCGTCGAGTATTCGAATGTGTTGCCTCGGCAAAGCGTCCGCTCTTCACGGCGGAAGTAGTGGAGATCTATACCTTGGATGCCGATCTGACGTCGTCGGACGATATGAACATCGGTGACCCGGAAACATTCATACTTGAGAGATGTACCGGACTGTTGAACATATCCGATTGGCTTTATTGGCGCGATAATCAAGTGCACAGAATCGTGCAGTTTATCCACTTCTCCGCGAAAGAGTTTCTCATGTCTCCCACAACCCGAGATACCGAGAACTTTGCGCATTGCTACAGGTTCGATGAATACACTGCCAATCTTGCGCTATTGAAGATATGCCTCGCGGCACTTGATGTCGCACCCGCACTCCCTTCCATACTCGTATACGCAGGCTCTTATTGGAGAGGCCCCGTCTCGCATCAGAATGAACTTGATCTTACCGAATATCTTGAGAAGTTTCTTCAGATGGACTCTCCATCCTTTGCTCGCTGGGCAAGCACCTTGCCGTCCTATGATGACGATCGAGATGGTCCCGCTATTCATTGTGCCGCGGCCCTCAATCTGTCTCACCATATGAAAAAGTTGTTGGCATGGTCACAGTCCGACCAATCTCCCCCCGTGAAGAGTACTCTTGTTACAGTACGTTGCCCCCGAGGGCGGACTGCATTACACCGGGCTGCATCTGCTGGTATGGTTGATGCTTGTCGCCTATTGCTCGATTACGGAGCTCTCGTCGACGACACCGACAAAGATGGGGACACTCCCCTACACCAGAGCGCACAAATCGGAGACTGGACCGTTATGCGGATGCTTCTCGAGCACCCCCGAGCGGATGTGGTGGATCTCGGTGCTCGCATTCACGCCCGTAACAAGCATGGGCAGACTGCATTGCATGTCGGTGCACAGTCGGGAGAGGCAGATGCTTGTCGCCTGTTGCTCGAGCGCGGAGCCCTCGTCGACGACTTCGACGAAGATGGGAACACTCCCTTCCATCTGAGTACAGCAGAAGGATATCTGGACATTATGCGGATGCTTCTCGAGCACCCCCGAGCGGACGCGGCGGAGCCCGGTGCTCGCATTCACGCCCGTAACAAGCAAGGGCGGACTACATTGCATCTCGCTGCACATTTCTCAGAAGCAGAGGCTTGTCGTCTGTTGCTCGAGCGCGGAGCTCTCGTCGACGACGCCGATGAAGATGGGAACAACCCCTTACATCTGAGTGCACGATTCGGTGACTTGGACATTATGCGGATGCTTCTGGAGCACCCCGGAGCGGATGCGGCGGATTCCGGTGCTCGCATTCATGCCCGTAACAAGCGCGGGGAGACTGCATTGCATCTCGCTGCACGGTGGGGAATGCCAGATGCTTGTCGCCTGTTGCTCGATTACGGAGCTCTCGTCGACGACGCCGACGAATATGGCAACACTCCCTTCCATCTGAGTGCACAAAATTCGCA